CGCCCAGATTGAAAAATCATGTCGTCGGAGACCTTGGGATCGGGAACGAACGAACGCAGCCACGGCCATGTTCGCGTCGTGGGAGATTCGCAACGCGGAAAGCCTGTGGCCGTTTTCGGCCCCTGCGAGGCCCTCGAAGGGCCCCGGGGCCGTCAGGAGACTTGGGATGAAGAACCAGTCTCGAAAAAAATGATCGAATCGCGAAATCGGATCGGATCGGGAACGGGCTTGGATCGCCAGCAAATCATCCCGACTAGAATCGAGATCGGATCGCCGCGCTTGGCTGCGGCTGCGGACGGAGATCGGGCGAGAGGTCGCAAACATGCTCGAACCGTGAACAAAAACGCATCGACCGGTTTATGGCAGCTGTCGGCCGCCCAGGGCCCTTGCCAGGCCCCAGGGGCGTCCAGAACCAGCTCCGGACGAAAAGCACATCCCGAGAGATGGGTCGAGACCTCTGGGAGTCCACGCTGTGCGAAATGATAGCAGACCCGGAACGGGTCGGATCGCCAGCGAATCGTCCCGGCTCGCCACGAGATCGGATCGCCGCACCCCGCGCTGGCTGGCCCTGGACTTGGGCGCCCGAGTTATCCGGGGTAACTCGGGTCCGGGGTAACTCGGGTTTGGATTTCCGAAAAAGGAACCCGAGTTAGCCCTGACCCGAGTTACCCCTGATGATGTGGGGCTCTGGACGCCCGAATTATCCGGGGTAACTCGGGTCCGGGGCAAGTCGGGTTCGGATTCCCGAAAAACGAACCCGAGGTAACCCTGACCCGAGTTACCCCTGATGATTCGGGGCTCTGATGGACGATGCTTGGTGAATCGAGCCGAATCGAATCGAATCGGAATCGCTGCCCCAGCCGGCGCATCGAATCGCAGCGAACAGGCGGCCCAGGGAGGGCCAGCCGAGCCAACGGCGGCCCTTCCTGTGCGTCCGCCGTCCTTGTCTGGGACCTCCTGGCGGCCTGGAATCACTACGACTGGATTCGCCTCGAGAAGCGGTCCGGGGCCGAGTGGGAAGGCCGCCGTGGTCTCAACCGGCCCTCCCCCAATGGGAACGACGGGACGCCCCCGCGCTCGCAGCGCTTGGCGTGTCGGGCCCGCGCTCTGTCCTCCTTGCTTGCGAGGCAGAGACCGAGGCATCGAGCCCAAGATGCCTGCCATGCTTGGACGCCGCATGTCCCCTTGCTGCACGAGCAGGACGCTGCCCCCCAAAAGGCAAACTCGGGCAGCCACGCCCCGTGGCATCTGCCCCCGTCCCCCCCCCGGCGGGGCGCCCGCGCTCCCTCCCCCGCCCCACCCCCCCCCTCCCCCAGGCGCCCGCCTGAGCGCCGTGGCGGCCTCGTGCGGCAGCGCAGCTGGATCTGACGTGCAGCTTCCCGAGCCCCACGAGGCCCCTCAGGTAGCACCCAAGAGGCCTCCGCGAGGCCTCCATGCGAGACCTCCCAGGAGGCCTCCGAGAGGACAACTGGCCTCTGGCCCACGTCCCAAACAGAGGGCCAGGATGGCCCCAAGGCCACCGCATGACACAGGCGTCGTCCGGCGTCCAGGCCGCCCGTCCCAGTGCGGCTGGAAAGTTCAGACCCCCACGGGCGCACGTTGGGGGGTATCAGCTCACCAGCTGCGCAGGGACGGGCGCCCCCGACGGCGGAGCAGCTTACCCTGAGCCAGTCTTCGCCCGCTCGTCCTCCAGCCTCTGGCCGTCGAAGTACTTGTCGTAGTATCTGGCCTGGGCCTGCCCACGGGCGACGGGCAAAGCCCCACATCCACCCAGCCACCCTCGCGCCGTGAGCACCAAAAACACCGCGGAACGCTCCACGACCTCGGTGCCCGAGGGGCCCCTGTGTCGGATGGGGAGGGTGCGACATCGAGACATCGCATGTCTGGGCTTGCGTGCCCAGCCATGCGCCGCCTTGAATTTGCTCATTCTGCACGGGGCCCCCGAAGTCCCCGCCCTTTTCGCAGGAACGCTGGTCCATCCCGAGTCGCTCGTCGACGGCACAGAGCCTCGCGAGGGGCCCCAGAGAATGACAAGGGCCAACCACTTTCTGTTGAGCTTTTTTCTTTCACGACGCGAGCAGGTCTGGGAGTGTGGATCCATGTTGCCCGCCCTCAGCCTTCGGGTCCGTGCCCAAGGCTCCGGGCCGCTCCCCGTACGGGTTGGGCATCCACTTGTAGTTGCGGCGCGCCCGGGCCTTCGCCTTCGCGTCCTCCAGCTCCGCGGCGAACTCCTCGCCCACGTCGCGCGCGGCGTCGAAGTCTGCCACCCGCGGCTCGGCGAGGCGCTGCTCCCTGAGGTAGCGGACCTTTAGAGGCACCCTGGATGAGGCCCGGGTGGATTGGGTCGGAGGATCTCGCCGCATCGCTGGCGCATCGGCGATGCATCGGCGATGCATCGTCGGTGCACTGGCGATGCATCGGCGACGTCGGCGATGCATCGGCGACGTCGCCGTGAAGCGAATCGGGCTCCGCATCGAGCCGCATCGCCGATGCATTGGCGATGCGGCGCGGTCTTCCGACCCCATCTGCTGCGACCCCATCTGGGAGGCCCAATTGGCGGGCCTTGGCCATGTCGCCAGGCCCCGCGCGCCCCGGGGCGGCGGGCGGGGCCAGCGCCTGCCGCACGAGGTGGGGCTTCACCTTCCTGGCGCGGTCCCCGAAGCCCTCCGCCGCCTCCGCGTCCAGGGCGCTGTCCTCAGTCGGTGGCAGCTCGTAGGAGCCTGCCGAACCATCTGGTCGGCTCTTGCGAATCGACGCTAAATCGACGCGAAATCGGCGCTAGTCGACGCTGAATCGGCACTAGAGCGTAGCCGACGCCAAATCCGCGCTGCCTCATCGGCTCCCAGACGCTAATCGACGTCAGTCACCGCTGAAGACAAAATCCGCTGGCCCCCTTGTGGGGCCACCAGGCTGTAGACCGAAGTGTGCTGCTCCCTGCGTCAGTTGCAGCTTCAAGTCTCCAATGTTACAGTCCTGCTTTCTGCTTCCTGCTGCAAATTGTGGAAATCCGCGCGAGGGGGGGGAGCCCAAAAGGATTCAATTTACCACGCCCGGATCGCGCTCTCTGAAGTCATGGGGGGGCGTGGGGGGCGGGGGGGTCATGGCTTCGGGGGTGCAATCTTTGAAAGATTGCGCCCCCCAAGCCATGAATCCTGGCAGATTATCCAATACTCGCGTCCTGGAGGCCCAAATGCTTGCGCCTCCGAGGCAACCAACCTTCGTAACTTCTGCAATGGCGCCCACGGGGTAACAAACCCATATGAATTGTGCCATATTCGCGCACCCGAAGCCAAGGATGCTCCAAGGCGCCCGAAGATGGTTCCAATACGACCCAAGAGGGCCCAAAGAGGCCCCAAGAGCACTCCAAGAGGCCGCCCGAGAGAGCCCCAAGAGGCCCAAATCGTATAGCTTACGAAGGTGATTGAAGGATTTGTCTGATGTTCGGCTTTCCGACGCTTCAAAACGGCTCAAGAAGCTCCCGCCCCAAGACAGCCCAAGACGCTTCCAAGAGGGCCCCAAGACTGCCCAAGAGGGCTCCAGGATGGCCAAGAAGCGCTCAAGACGGCCCAGGAGGGCCCCAAGACGGCCGCCAAGAGGCCCCAAGAGGCCCCAAGAGGCGCCCAGGACGCGCCCAAGAGGCCTCCACGAGGCCCGACGGATATCTTACGAGGCCCCACGAGGCCCCCAAGAGGCGTCCCTTCGCCTCCAATAGGCCCCCGAGAGGCTCCCCACGATGCCCCAACGCATATGCAAGAGACCTCAGACCCGCAACCCAGGCACGGTGACGGGATGGGCCGAAGGCCGCTAGGATCCGCCGCCCCCTGCTTGCAGGGGTGCACGGCGTGCTGGATGTTTCAGGTTTTGGTTTTGGTTCTTTTTCTAAAAGAACTCCCCAGTGGGCTCCGGCAGAACCCGCCGGCCACCCGGAAGGCCCCCAAACGTGCTCAACGACCGGAGAAAATCCTCCAAGATGGCTCGAACTGGCCTCCAAGATGCCTCCAAGATGGCCAAGATGGTCTCCAAGACGGCTAAGATGGCCTTTAGATGCCTCCAAGACGGCCCAAGATGTATCCAAGTCCGCCCGAGATGGTCCAAGACGGCCTCCAAAACGGCCCAAGAGAGTCCAAGACGGCCCAAGACGGCCCAAGAGGCCCCCCAGAGGCCTCCCAGACGGCCCAAGAGGCCTCCAAGAGGTCCTCCAGGAGAGTCCGAAGAGGCCAAAATCATTGATTTTTCCTTGGTTTTTGAAGGATTTTGGCATTTGCGCCTTTTCGGCTCTCCGACGGCTCAAGACGGCCCAAGAAGCCCCCAAGATCGCCCAAGAGGCCCCCAAGAGAGCCCCATGATGGCCCAAGTGGCCTCCAAGATGGCCCCTAGAGGGCCCCAAGAGGGCCCAAGAGGCCTCCAACACGCCCAAGATGGCCTCCAAGACGCCCAAGATGGCCTCCAAGACGGCCCTGGAGCATTCCAAGCGGGCCCCAAGTCGGCCCATAGAGGCCCCCAAACGGCTTCCGACGGCTTCAGACGTGCCAGGAACCCACCAAGATGGCCGAAGTTGGCTCGAAGCTGGCCCGAGACGGCCCAAAAAGCCCCAAAGATCGCCCAAAGCTTGCCCAAGAGGCCTCCAAGACGGCCAAGATGACCTTCAAGATGCCCACGTGTTCCCCGAAGGCTTTCCAAACCGATTCGGGGAACACGTGGTCCGATAGCTTGGCAGGTCTGGCCTCAACGTTCGGCCACATAGGCGCTTCCAAAAAGGCAGGGGGCGGCGGTGATTCGCCGTAGGCGTCTTCGATACGCAGCTCCCTGTTGGCTTGCCACAGGGGTGCCTGGCGTGCGAATTCCAATTTTTTCCCGAAAAGAACTCTACCTCGGGGCTTCGGCCCGTCCCGCCGGCCCTGCGGAAGACCCCGTTGCAGAGGTTGTTCCTGCCAGGGACGGCGCGCAAGTTCGCCCAAGATGGTCCTTGGTGGTCTCCAAGACGGCCCGAGAGAGTCCCAGATAGCTCCAAGTCCGCCCAAGAAGCCTCCGAGGACGGCCCAAGCTGGTCCCAGATGCGTCCATGAGGCCTCCAAGACGGCCCAAGAGACTTCCAAGAGGTCCTCGAGGAAGGCCCGAAGAGGCCAAAACCATTGATGTGCCAAAGGTGTTTGATGAATCGTGGCATTCGCTTTTCTTCGGTCCTCCGACTGCCCGAGATGGCCCAAGAGCCCCCAAAGATCGCCCCAAGGTCGCCCAAGAGGCCTCCAAGAGGACCCCAGAACGGCCCAAGAGGGCCCAAAGACGGTTCCAAGAGGGCCCCAAGACTGCCCCAGAGGCCTCCAAAACGCCAAAGATGGCCTCCAAGATGACTGAAGCACCCCAAAAGGGCCCCAAGTCGGCCTAGAGAGGCCCTCAAGACGGCATCCGAGGGCGTCAGACGGGCCAGGATGCCACCAAGACAGCCCAAGATGGCTCCAAGATGGCCGAAGACAGCCCAAGAGGCCACCAAGAGGTCTCAAGACGGCCCAAGGTGCTTCTAAGAGGTCCTCCGCAAGCCAATGGAAGAAGCCCAAATCATGCATGTTCCAAGGATCTGGGCATTTGCTTCTGTTCGGCCTTCCGACGGCACGAGATGGCCCAAGGGCCCCCAAAGGTCGCCCACAAGGCATCCAAGAGAGCCCTACAATGGCCCAAGAAACCCCCAAAACGGTCCCATGAGGGCCCCAAGACTGCCCAAGAGGCCTCCAAGACGCCCAAGATGGCCTCCAAGACGGCCCTGGAGCAACCCAAAAGGGCCCCAAGTCGGTTCAGAGAGGCCCTCAAGACGGCATCCGACGGGTCAGGAGGCCATCAAGGCTGCCTGAGATAGCTCCGAGATGTCCCAAGACGGCCCAAGCGGCCCCCAAGAGGTCTCCAAGACGGCCCAAGGGGCTTCCAAGAGATCCTCCAAATGCCCGAAGAGGCCAACATCATTGATGTTCCCTCAGTTGTTGAAGGATTTAGGCGTTTGCTTCTTGTCGGTCATCCGACGGCTCGAGACTGCCCAAGAGCCCCCAAAGGTCGCCCCAAGGTCGCCCCAAGGTCGCCCATGAGGCCTTCCAACAAGATGGCCCCAGAACGGCCAAAATGGCCCCTAAGACGGCCCCAAGAGGGCCCCAAGACTGCCAAGAGGCCTCCAAGACGCCCAAGATGGCTTCCAAGACTGCCTTGGAGCACCCTAAAAGGGCCCCAAGTCGGCTGAGAGAGGCGCCCAAGACGGCTGCCGACGGCATCACACGGGCCACGAATGCCTGAAGACAGCCCAAGAGACCCTCAAGAAGCCTCCATAGGCTCCCAGGTAGCTCCAAGGAGGCCCCAAGAGCGCCCCCAAAGGCTCCCAAAATGCCCGATCCACCTCCTCCTCCTCCTCCTCCTCCTCCCCCTCCTGCTCCTCCTCCTCCTCCTCCTGATATTCCCCGCCATCCTCCCCCAAGTGTTCACCGAAGGGTTTCTACAAGGGCTGGGCGAACACATGGCCCGATAGCTTGGCAAAGCTCTTTCCACAACGCTCGGCAACATTGGTGATTCCAAAACAGGGGGCGTCTTCGATAACGCCAACGTCACAATATGCGCTGATGACTCCTATCCACCCCCACATGAACGTCCCAGATGCGCCAAGGCAGCGCCGAGACTCACCGACGCGACTCTCATAGATCTCATTATGATAGAGAGGGGGCCGGCGGCAGGGGGCGAAACCCTGATGGATTCATGATTTGCTGCCGAAGTAGATGCCTTCCAAATGGGGTCCGAGTAGGTCGAGTCGAAGGATCGAGCCGCATCGCCGATGCGACGCATCGGCGACGCCAGAGCGGAGAGAACCGGGCTCCACGGCGACTCGCAGCGGCTATGCGGCGCGATCCCCGGACCCCGTCTGCTCGGACCCCATGTGGGGGGGGCCGAGGTCGTGGCAATTGAAGGAACTAAACGGGGCCCTGAGGGAAACAGGTCCTGGCCCCTGGAGCCTTCGGGCCCCAAGCCCGCTTCATCGTGAGCCGTGGAACTCAGCAGCCGTCCCAGGGCCCCGGGGGCCTACGATTTGGGAGAAAACCTCAGGACCCGACTTCCTCAGGACCCTGCTGCTTCCGTGTGGTACTGCGATCCGTTAGCCACCCGCTTGCTGCATGGCGAGGTCCTGCAGGTCGCGCGTGGCGGGCGGCTCCGCCGGGCGCAGCGCCACCGGGTAGGGCTTCTGGTACACGGGGAAGTCCCCCTGCTGGCGAAAGAACCGCTTCGGCTGCTGCCTCACCACCTTGCCGCTGGGGCGGCGGGAGCCCCGCTTCGGCGGCTTCATGTGGGCGTGGCGCCGCTGCGTGCCGGCGGGCCCCAGCACCTGCGAGCGCCGCACCTGGGGAGGCGCAAAGACACCGATACCGCTGCCCCCCAAACCTCCCCTGGGTTGCGGTCCGGCCAAAGGAGCAGAGTAAATCCAACCGTGGCGGCGAGGGCCTCCCAGGAGGCCCCAGAAGGAAATGACGTCAT